TTTTACATAATATATATGTATTGTATGAAGTCGAAGCAAAGTTCAAATGCTTTCGGAGTAATTCAGGAAGAGTTTATAAGCTCTGATGGAGTGCATTGGCCCCAGTAACATGCGAGTCTCAGGTCTGATGTGTGTGTTGTGTTGTGGCTTCTCTCGCGCTGATGTTCTCTGGGTTCAGCGGCAGGGCAGTGGGTCGCGCCAGCCCTTTGATTTTCACACTGTTTCTCCGCTGAACGCCACATCAACTTAATCAGGGTTAGCAATGGAGGAGCACAGGACTGGCGGCTCAGCGTGACCCTGCGCTGGTGACACAGATGGGGTGATAATCCTCGCCCCCCCCACGGGCAGGACGGGGGCACTGACACTAAACTGACACGAAGGCACTGCCGGCACAAGGAACTTTACACTTTGCACAAACTGCTTTTGTTTTCTGGACTAATGAACGTTGTTTAGCCGACCTGAGGGTTTTGTTTAAACATATCTGCTGTTGTGAAAGTGTTTGCTACTCAACACCAAATAAACTGATCAAACACGACACAAGTAGACGAGCACAAATTAGTTGTTCTAAAGACTCTCTAGTAATCAAGAGGACAAGGTTACGCTCCGTTTTTAACGGTTGTGAGATCCCGTTAGATATCGCCAGCACTAATGCGGACACTGTTATCCTTCCAAACAAGCCTTTTCTTTCTTAGGTGAAACACACACACACAAAAAAAATAAAAATAAAATAAATAAATAAAAATCGATATGGATTTTTTCAGTGATTTGGTTTATCCAATTCACAAAAAGTCTGACTGATTCTTCCTTGAATTGTTTTGATTCATTACTCGTTCTTAGAGCAAATTGCACTAATTTGTACGAGCTGGCAAAAATTGATCGAAAACTTGACTAACTTTTGTTTTCCTAAAAAAACTCATGGTTAGGTTTAGAAGTTTATATAATTGGTGTTTAGGAGTTTATATAATTGTATGATTTGTCATAGCTATAATGCTATATACGGTTTCGCCATTCCATACGAATTCGTGTAGGTACACAAAGCCTGTTTGTGGGACATTTGGCACACTTTGTAATTGCATTTTTTAACCGAATATTATAGTATCCATCATAAATTGGGTATCATTCCCACCACTCAGAAATTATCCTGTGAAAACAGTTTTGAAATTGGACATTGTGTTTCAATGGAAGCGGTAATTTAAAACATTTGGCGGGCTACGTTTTTGTGGTATTAACTTAATTTGGAATAGAACTTGGTTAGACAAATAGCTTTGATTTTCTAGCAATTTTAGAGTCAAAATAATTTTGTAATTTAAAAATAAATAGAAAATGTTTAAATTTTAAAATTAAAATTTAACTTCAATTCATGTTTTACACTTTCATTTTTTGAAGCAGATCCACTTCTGCAATAATCTGATAAAGAGTGTCTTTAAAAAGAGAACAACTAAATGTTTCTATTCGCATTCATGAATTACAACCATTTAACAGGTAACATTTTTTTAAACAATCTGACTTAATGACTTAAAACTAACTCAAATAAATATTCAAACAAATCTATTATATCGCTTTAGCAGACTTTTATATGGACTATAGAAGTTATATGGACTTACGGTGCTTTTTACAATTTGCATTGTTATGTTCATTGTTCAAAATATATCTTGCTGTGTAAAACAAAAGTCACAAATTTAGAAAAACATAATTAAATGACAAAAAATGACTAATCCAATAATATGCACTATGCAAATAAATGCTAATCATATTACACTTTTTTTCTTTATAAAAAAATGTTGTAAAATTTTAAAAGAAACGTATTTACAAAAGCTGAGTATACAAAGCAAAAATTTACATAATTGCATCCAAACGCCTTCATGACACTCATGACTTTTTCCCCCTAAAATTTGAATCACTCGACATTCTCTCAATCTTCCTGCCCATAATTCATGATTTGAAGATTTTCATGCATCTCACATCCATTACCAAGGAGGATATCCCTCGACCGCACGTGTCACCGCACTTCCAGTGATAGTTTATTTAAAGGCTGCGACACTTACTTGATTTACAACTCTTAAAAGCATTTTCCAACACTACTGTATAATCTTAATATTTAATAAAGTCTGCCTGAAAAACCTATAGTGCAGTGCTCTCGGCAAATCTTAGTCATAGTGGCGTTTTTGACTTGGTAAAGTGCGTAAACACGAAGCACACAAAATGGCATCTTAGTGACGCTTACGAAATCTGGCCGAATTTGTCGCATGTGCGCGAGGTCAAACTTCGGTCAACTTCTCGGATGAGCTGACAAAATCCGATATTGCTCAAGAGCTTTTTAAACGTTGAATCTCTAACAAAGTATAAACCCAAACAAAACCCTTGTTGTCCCCATGGAAGAATTAAGCAAGGTTCATCTGAAGTTCATGCTTCTGGTATCATAGATATACATGGGGTGGGGGGGGGCTCAAACCTAATCACAGACTTTCACGTCAGCTATGACGTGACATTTTCTGAACTTCTGGCCCGGATCGTTGGGTCACCGCTCGGTCAGACCCCTCCTGCGGGCCAGGAGCTGGTTCTCTAAAACATAGCCGAAATACCTCGCCATTGCCAACATGCCGTGTTTTCATTCACTCATAACCAGCCCCCTCCTCAGTCTAGATTCAGGGTTCACAGAAAGGCCAGCGAATAGGCCCCGCCCTCAGAGAGTTTTGCTCCGCCCATCGTAAAGCGACTCGCAACGCGTAACGGTTTCTTCACACAGAAACACAGCGCCACCTGTTGCTGGGCCGGAAAATCATAAAGAGTGCTTTGAAAGCATTACTTTTTATATAATAATTACATTATTACAGAGCAACAGACTATATATATATATATATATATATATATATATATATTTCTTCATTATTTGATCATGCTTTTATGGATGAAAACAGAAATCTTTCATGTAAAAATATTAAATTTTCTTTTAATATTGTAACTTTTTTCTGATACTTTCATTAGAGCCCTGTGTAATTTTCATATAACAGCAAAAATTCAGCATTTAAATGTTCTTCAGCTTAAGCCTCATGTAAAAATGCATAATAATATTTGTTATTGAATAAATTTTTCATATTATATTTTGCATGATTAGGAGAACTCATTTGTAATTGTGAATAAAGCTTAATAAGAAGAAATATAAATATCAATGCAATATTATTGTAGCTCCAGCTCCAAAATAATTATTTTTTCATATATCCATATTTTCCAATAAATACCTAAACATTCTTAATGTCTTGACTCATTTTGCTTATCAACTAGGCTAAATGTATCTTGATTCATGTCTTGTTTTACTAAAAATGTATCAAAATTGAACAAGTTTCAGGCTTAAAACATAAAAATTTAGAATTATTTTTTATTATTTTATTATTTTTTGTCTGCACTAGCAGATAAACTCACTCAATTTTATTTTTTCAGAAAAAAAACGTAATATCAGACGTAATAGCTGTTGTCATTTAGCATCTAAAGTAGCTTTCTCTTGATTTAGGAGGTTTAAAAATTTGTACTGGAAAACGAGACAGAAATACTCAGAAAGAAAATCTTTTTTTTTTTTTGCAGTAAACTTAAAATTTGCATTTTATCCAATGATGTACAACAAAACCTGGAATTAATATTTAATTAATTCCTGGAAATAACAAATAGTGAGATTCTGAAAAATGTCAAACATTTTGACAAAATTAAGATTTCTTGAGAACATTTCCCAAATCTTGCTGGAAAACATCTGGTTATTTTTTCAGTTCAACTTTTCATTTAAAATTATTTTGCCTTCATTATAATTTATAATGAAAATAAATAGAAATATGCAACAACAACAACAACAAAAAATACATGTTTAGATACTGATTATATACAGTTTTTTTCTAATTAATAATTTCAACCAAAATGTGATATTATATAAAAGGAGCATTCTTATTTTTATAAAGATAAAGAGAATAGAAAGAAATTGAGATTTGAAACAGAACTGAATCATCCAAATATATCCGTCCTGGCAACATTTTTCCAAGGTCAGTTTATTAAGAGGTGTGTGGTAAAATAAAAAAAGATAACATAAAACAAAAGAAAAGACATCAAATCCTCAGAGAGAGGAGTCAAACGTTGCATTTTATGGCTGACACGGACTCCACACAAGTCCGGCATGGAAATGTTTAAGAAGCTATTTTATTTTATTATTATTTTTTTTTTCATTTTATTTTATTTTCAATTAAAGAGCATTGTGTGTCTAGGATAAAAATTATTTTGTATTAATGAACCCCTGTCAAATAAAAATCTGACAAAATAAAGTGTGACCAATGTAAATTAATCAAAAGTTTAAAACACAAGACATTTAATTGCACTAAAAACAAAATTAATAAACATTAAAAAAAATATATGGTTGGTTCCACATAAAGCTATATATCTGGCCACACACTTAATTTGTGCAAATTCATGACAAACATTATGACACGTATATTAAATATGCTAAACCAACAATTACATTCATTCTATGTTTGTGAATGACAAAAAAAATCAAAAACTATAATGTCATTCTTATAAACATGAATTGACAGATTATTATTGTCGTTGCATAGTAGTGATCATCATTGCAATTTCACAAACAAATACTGGCATTTTACAATCAGCCAAAGCAAATGAGAAAAAAGAGATATATTAAATGATCACGGATTCAGAAATACCACAATATTTCTCATTCTTAAAGGTTTCTGATGGTTTGTTCTGGGTTAAGGGTGTCCTCTAGTGTACGGTTGATGTAATGCTGTATTCTACACAGTTGAACAGGCTATTAACATCTATCAAATATTTTATCAACACAAACATAATGAAATGTTTACGTTTTTATTTATATGAATATAGTACAATGAGTATGTCCCTATTAAACAATGATGCATTTTAAAGGGATATTAAAAAATAATATTTTGTGCTTTCACTGGTTTCTTTATTTTAGTAATATTTTATATATTTTGATAATCCAGGATCATGAATAGTATATATATCTAATATATATATATATATATATATATGCTTAAATGAGAAATATTCTAATTTTGAATCCTGTAACATTCAACCCCAAAACATTTCAGATGTAACAGGGTTTCCAAAATGTTTTTAAGAAAGAAATGTAATGAGGTTATTATTTCTAATTCAATTATAATCTACATTATTATATGACATTTGAAAGTAGCAGAAGTCTTATCAAATGGAAAAATAAGGAAATTAATGCTATCTAAAATTGACCCATGTGAAATTCATCATTTCAAAAACACATTAGTAATAATATATTTTTTTCAATTATCAATCAGCAGCTCCAAAATATATAACCCTAAACTTAAAGCATAAATCTCTTAAAATCATCATGAAACACATAAATGGATGTTCCCTCTGAATGTGCCCTGTTCATTCTTAATCATAAAACATTTGATCTACTGCAATTTCCACAGGAAATATAGTAGAAATGTAGATGTATAAAGTCTTTGTCTTGATCAGACTCTGCACAGAGCAGAGATGAAGACCCTCCTCGCTTCCCGTAGTCATGTTGTTCTTACCCGACTCCTGAAGGCTGCATTCACCGCCACTTACTTTTGTTCCTGCAGTAAATGCAGATTCTCTTCAGTAGTCACCGGTGAATCAACCCTAGACCGCTTCCAAAAGATTTATTGGAGTTCAATGTGTCAGCAAACAGCTTGCTCACCAACAGCGGCACACACCTAGAAACAAATAAATTATTTATTTATTTAAGGCTGATGGTCCTTTATGGGCTCTATGCACGGCGGTATTTCCGGTGAAGGTGTAAGGATGCTCGATAACTTCCGCCGATCGTACAGTCCAATGCAAAACCGAGAATTTATATTGAATTTTATACTCCATGGTTATACTAAAGAAACGTTAGTCACAAAAACAGATAAAACAGACACCCCTCGTTGTGTTTATGCTTCTTTTTAAAATTATATAAAATAAACATAACTATATATAAAATTACATCTAAACGTATGAAAGTTTCATTTCAAAGACGGGGGGACAGTAAATTTTAAAGACTCTGCCATAATCCCGTTTTCCTCGGTTTTCCTCCACTTTAATCTCCCCAACCGGAAACAGACGAGCATCCTTAGGTCAAATGCGGAACTTATGCGTGCGTATAAGGCGCTTTTCCACTGCATAGTACGGTACGGTTCGGTTCGGTACGGCTCACTTGTGGTGCTTTTCCACTGCATGGTACGGTACAGTACGGTAGGGGTGGGCGATATGGAAAAAATATCATATCACGATTTTTTTAGGAAAATCACGATCACGATTTTTTATCACGATTCTTTTTCAAGTTGGTTTTAATATTTTGCAAGTGGCTGTTCATTACAGCCAAACTAATGTCCCTATGTTAAAAACAAAGCCTTAGGTAACAAAAGCAAAAAGAAAGGCATACATTTAGGCCAGTGGCGAAGATAAAAATCTTTGTCATTATTTTCTTTGTTATTAAAAAAAATAAGACAAGATAAACATTACACAAATTAATATTCATATTAAATAAATAGTGCTTTATTTTTTCAGATGCAGTAGGTGTATTTAGCAGTAGCATTGAAGTAATTAAATGAACAAATATGAAATTAAAACACTACATAGACTTCACTGAATAAATTGATTCTTATTAAAGATATATTAAAGTTCTCAGTCAGTGAGTGATTTTCTCCTTGTGTTTTTTTTTTGTTTGTTTTATTAACACTAAAGGGATAGTTCCCTCAAAAATGAAAATTGTCTTAATTTACTCTCTCAAGATGTTTTAAACCCGAATAAGTTTCTTTCTTCTGTTGAAAATAAAAGTTATTTTGAATAATGTGGGTAACCGAACAGTTGCTGGTCTCCTTATAGTTTTTTTTATAGGTTCTCTCCTGGAAGTTAATGGGGACCAGCAACTGTTTGGTTACCCACATTAAAAAAAATTGTCTTTTGTGTTCAGCACAAGAAAGAAATTAATACAGGTTTGGAACAACATTAGAGTGAGTAAATAATGACGGATTTTTTTTTATTTTTAGTTTTTGGGAACTATCCCTTTAAGGACAAGCGGCAGTAGGCTACTATTTATTCCTGTTGCTTTTAGACCAGCACGCGACGCGTTTAATATAGACGCATATTACACCAGATATTCTCTCAAATGTTTGCTTTCACTTTAGACATAGCCTGTTTATGTAAACATTGTGTGTATTTAACAGTATTAGCTTAATAAGACTCGAGAGATAACTTAGTCCAGTATTCAGGCGCTGTTTGACAGATCTAGTGCCTGTGAGCGTCGGGGGTTTGCGGTCAGGAAAGCGCACGTAGAACAGCGAATCAGCGCGTGAATTAAATGTTTAACCGGCAAGGCTTATGCTATGAACTTTTGTGAATTGCAGTGTCCCGTACCTATCCCGTGTGATCATGTGTAGGCTACGTCGCGTTGTACAGTTAAGAGACGGAGGCGCCAGAGCTGAACTGATAGAATGCACTGTAACACGATACTACGATATTTCTTCAAAAGCAGATCGTGGAGACATTTTAATCGTCCACGATTAAAAATCGTCATATCGCACACCCCTACAGTACGGTTCGCTTCAGGTCGCTTTAAATGGTACCTGGTCTGTTGAGGTTCCAAGCGTACCGTACCGGTACTAAAATGTGACGTGAAACACTGCAGATCACTGATTGGTCAGACAGAATCGTCACTACTAGCGTCATTGGATTTGCGACACGAGACACGAGACACTTTTTTAGCAGTATTTTTGTTTTGCTGCCATCAGCCTCATTTTAAACACATTTTTCCGTCTAGCAGTTAAAAACAACCACATACCGAGAATCAGGAACACCATCCCCTCGATAGTCTCCATTGTTCCTGTGTTGTGGGTTTGAAAATGTGGCGCTTTTAAGATGATGTCATGGCAGTAGAGGCGCGCGCAAATAACGATCAGTCCCACACACTTTGAAGGGGTACTACTGCAGTGGAAACGCAAAGCGAACCGAACTGTTCCGCGCCGAGTCGAAGCGTACTGAGCCGAACCGTACCGTACTATGCAGTGGAAAAGCGCCAATAGCCTATTAAGACAGACCGATATATCGGCAGGCCGATATTATCGGCCGATATTAGGCATTTTCCAAACTATCGGTATCGGCAGTTATAATGGCCGATAAATGAATATTTCAAAAATAAAATAAAAACAGACGAAACATGCTTGAACCATGTCATGAGTGTTGGAGTTGTATAGTTTGTCCACCAGAGGGCACTCTACACAGTCCCTGTTGTCAACACTCATTGAGTTGGTCACGACACATACATTGCTTGAATAACAATTATTAATTAACGATTTAGCGATGTCAGAGTCCGGAAACATCGTTTGAAACAATGTAGGACTGGCGTCTTGTCACCGTGTGGAGAACCCAGAGCACCTCTGCTTTTAGTGTTGGCTCTGATCCAAAGCAAAATCCAAATCAGCAAAATCTGATCCAAAATTCAGATTTTTTAAGCCAAGTATCGCTAAACTTCCACTTCCCCATAGCTGAATAAGATCAGTTTTGTGTCTGCCTGTGGTATCTGTGATACGCGCCAACAACGTGAAACCTCAAAACTGATTGGCTGTAGCCATAATACTGCAAATTATATTTGAACAAGAAAAATAAAAGAACTACAACCATGGAATATAAAAAAATGAAGACACGTTTAAAATGATTTAAGACCTAGAACACTTTTTTTTTTTTAAATTGAAATTTTAGAATTTTTTTTTTTTTTAATTTTAAAATTTTTGACTTTTAGGGAAGATCTGCGTCTTCCCTTTGTGTAAACGGTGCCTAAGTCATGTAAGCAAGGTTAGGGTTGGGAATCGTGAGAAATTTTCTGGTTCCGGTTCCGATTCCGGTTCCGCCAAACGATTCCGGTTCCGGTTCCGGTTCCCATTCAATTAAAAATATTAGTAAGAGAAAAATCCACAATCCTTTTTGTGTTTATTTCTTATAGTACATGACAAATTAGTTTAACAGACTGGTAATGTAAACAAACTCAAAATATTATTAAGCAATCTTTGCAAAAAAAAAATGTATATATATATATATATATATATAAAGAAAATAAAAAAATTCTGCATTCTCTATAATAATTTAGACCTCTCCTTTATTGTATCTCCAACAGTGAAGAATACCCTCTCAGAAGGAGTAGAATATGCTTTAACACACATATGTGTGTAGAACAGATTATTTTTTTAAACGGTTTGAATGATTGATTCATAAAGACTTTACTAATTTCATTACTGGATAAATCGGCGCTCTAGCAGTTAATAAACAGAACTGCATGCGTCTTGCGGAAGAACATTGTTGCCGGAGCTACTTCTCTCTGTTTATGTCCATGACGAGTCACGCAGGCATTGGGCTACTCCGCAGCAGCTGCGATCCGCCGGCCAGTCTAAACAAGAAGTCCGAGTATTAACGCTTATTACAGGCTTTACGTAGTGATTCAAGATAAGACAAAAACACGGTTTGAAAAAAAAAAAACATTATGATGTACTCGCTCATTGTATATATTTTGTAAATTCTGAACACAAAAAATATACGGACTGCATCTGTTTTGACCACTACCGTCAATGTTTACTCAAACTATAATCTCACTAATTCTGTAACGGAAATCATTTGAATATGTGAAACAAATAAATATTGAGACTGTGATTGTAAAGCAGTTTCATATCGACAACTGCTCTCTCTCTCTCAGCGCAAACAGATTTGAATGTAGGCTAGAGAGTGACTCGGCGGTCGGCGCGCGCAGCGTGCCTGTGTCTGTGTGTGACAAATGCAGCGCGTGTGAGAGCAAATCGCAACTTCAGTGGTGAAGTTTTTGTCATTTAGGAATAAGACGGCGTCTTCTACTCCCAGCACTTCGCCCACATGATGATATCGCATCGGCATCAGAACCGTTTTCGGAACCGAAACTTAGGAATTTTGCACGGTTCCGGTATTTTTTCAAAAACACAACCGGTTCTGGAAAAGAACCGGTTCTCGGTTCCCAACCCTAAGCAAGGTGAATGTGTCTGTGACATTTCTCCTCAAAAAACCCCACAGATCATTTACTACACCATTCCCAAAATGCCCCTTTTCGGATCTAAGCAAAAACACACTATTCCCGTGTGTATATCTTGAAAAGCAAATGAGCTGCTGCTTCCCTCCCCCTTTCCAGGAGTGGGCGGAGCCTTTACAACGAATGCTTCAGATACTCCAGACAACAACAAAACAGAAGAAACAACACGGTTGTTTCCACAGAATTCCACTGCGATGCTTTTCCATTATTTTCAATGGAAACATGCGCTAGACGGACCTTTGGTTTTTTTCTCCCATTTCGTGGCCATTCACACATCTATGCATCTAAAAAATGTGAGAAGCGGGCAGTCGAAAGCTCAAGGTGTGGCGTACCTGTCAGTCTTCAGATTCAGCGTCTGTCGGACTGTCCACCGTTACAGGCTCCACCAGACGCTCATACGACACCACCATCATGATCTGTCAATCATTCACAAGCAGTTAGCGTTTAGCTGTCTTAATCGTGTGTCTTCACACTCTCATGTGTGCACTAGATTCTCCAAACAAGACTCACGGTGAGCAGGACAAGCAGACCCATCATCACCCCCATCATCACATAGAGGTTAGAGGTCAGGCCGCCGGCCCAGAGAGGACCGAGGATGGTGGCCAGTCCTCCGACAGAGCGGCGGATCCCCTGGCTGAATCCTGAGAACAAACAAACAAGCCCTTCGTCTAAGCAAACATCGACTAGACAACCAGAAAAACTAGAAAAGTTTGTCTAGATGAACTTTGCTTGACAAAGCCTTGCCTAAAAGTTTAAAGGGGTGGTTTAATGCCCTTTTCTCAAGATGTAAAACAAGTCTCAAATGTCCCTAGAATGCATATGTGACGTTTTAGCACAATACCCCACAGATATTTTTTTTAGTGCTGTCAAACGATTAAAATATTTAATCGCGATTAATCGCATTAATGTCATAGTTAACTCGCGATTAATTGCAAATAATCGCACATTTTTATCTATTCTAAATGTCACTTGATTTCTTTGTCACATTATTATTTTTTCTCATTTTAATGCTCTTATCAACATGGAAAAGTGGATCGGCTTGCTTTGTGCAAATGTTTTTTTATTGAAAACAACATTGCCATATACTGTGTTCAAACACTTGGAGCAAATAATCTGTCACACAATGTAACACTGTCCATCAATAAAAGGGTGAAAGAAACACTGAAAAGGTCCTGATATTGACAAGGGGGCGGAGAATTCGCATCAGCTCTGTGTGTGTGCTTGGCCATCATCAAGTGCTGTTTTAGACTGGGCGTGCTGTGATGATGATAGCTCAGTTCACAATGACAAAACACACAGATCACTTTGGTCTTGTCAGTTTAACCATTTGGCAAATTTAGGGCCCTATAATTTCCACGATCACGGAATCGTGAACGGAATCGCGGAATTGGCCAATTAACGCGGAATCCAACATGACATCATGACTTTTGCGTAAACATATACGCCACTTTCGAGTCAGGTGGCATGTTATCTCCACGCATTTTGTGCTATCCGCGTGTGTCCGCGTGTATGCGTATATGTCTACGCCATTAACGTCCGCGTCATTCCGCGTGTCTGAACACGCAGTCAAATCTCCAGTCATAAATGCCATTAACCCCAGTGACGGTTAAGTTTAGGGATGGGGTTGAGGTAAGTCATATCTTTTTTTACCTAGGATGGTAAGGGAACAGTCATAAATGCCATTAACCCCAGTGACGGTTATGTTTAGGGACAGGGTTGAGGTAAGTCATATATTTATATAACGTTAAGTCAACGGCGTTCATAAACACGCTGAAAGGCGATTATGCGTCTGGATAGCACGCCAAAAATGGAAATACGAATTGGCGTGTCATACACACGCTACTTCATGAGATCAGTCTGCGGAATCTAGTGTTAATACGGAATTTCGCAGAATTTTACATATTTGGAATAAAATTCGTTTTTTGTGTGGGAGAAGAACGTATGTCTGGGGAAAATGCAGAGAGACGGGGAAGCAAATCTGGGCGACACAACCCCTCCCGTCATTTCAGCTCATGACGGCATCAAAACAACAGCCGTATTTCCACTGAAAGCATGGCGAAGCGGCTCTCCACGGCTCTGCTTTCGTCGGCGAAAAAGTTAAGAAACTCGTCGCACACACGCAAACACAAAGTGCCCTCCGTCCACGTCTGTCTATGAGGTGCCGGACCGAGTGTGTGCCCGAGTCGAGAGCGCGCGAGAGAGACGAGACAGCACGCTCAACAGTGCGCGTGAGAGAAACCGAGTGTGTCCGAGAGCGCGCTCGACAGAAGCTGCATCCCAATGTGCAAACTATGCCAGAAATAGTATTGACAGTAATGTCACATACTATTTAGGATGGATAGTATGCACATTACGACGCAGCTAGAGTGTGACTTTTATTTTAACTTATATAAACTAATATAATTTATTTTACAGGACATTTTAAAGCTCATAACCATATTTTGTTGTTACAGTACTTAGAGTGCAGTGCTATGTTGCATCATGCAGTATTTGTCATTTTAAGAGTAAATGCCTATTTTAATTGTGTACATTTTAATCATTAACATTAAAAGCTCTTTTTACAACTAAAATAACAGTAAAGGGTAAAAAAAACGGAATTCCCAAAAAGTTAAACGGAAAAAACGGAATTTGCAAAAATTAAAATGGAAAAAACGTAATTTGGGAAAAAATAAAACGGATTTTATAGGGCCCTACAAATTTTTAAAGTAAACCTTCCATTCAGAATCTAATTGGCATCCATTTCAGCGTCTCGCGCTCGCCATCCACTCAAAACTTAACGTTAACCAACTATTTGGCCGGTTTGCAAGCCCGAACAAGTGTGTGCGGCGTGCCTGTTGTTTTGTTTACGGTCTAGATCCGCTTGCGCTTTGGTCGACAAAGCACTCGCGCGGCACAAGCCAATGAAATGAATGGGTTTCATAGCGCAGTGCAAAAAAACTACAAAGTTTGCTAGGGCAAAAAGGCTGTTAATCGCGCAATAAAAAAAATTGACGTCGTTAAAATGGGTTTGCGTTAAAGCAGTTAATAACGTGTTTAACTGACAGCCCAAATTTTTTTATATCATGTTAAAATTGTCACTTTTTGAGGGTGAGCAAAAACGCGCCATTTGTGTGTGTGTGTGTGTGTGTGTGTGTCCCTTTAAATGCAAATGAGCTGCTGCTCCCAGCACAGAAGGCCAGTGTGTGTGTGTGTGTGTGTGTGTATGTGCAGCTCCGATTACCTCACGCAGACACACACTGAAAATTTCAAAAACTTTTAGCCTTTTAGCCCAAAGACGGAGAGACGCAAGATGAAGTGACAACATGTTGAATGTAATAGGACATTTCTGAATGGTTAGTTGATGAATTTATGTTGCTGATGTGGAGTTAAAGGGTTAGTTCGGTATTTTACACTTAAAGTCCTGTTTTAAGATCAGTTCTGATGAAATAGAAAGGTTAAGACTGAAATTTGGACAAATGGGTTAGGGTTAGCTTAACCCTGTCCCGAGTTTTCGGTTTCTGTGTTAGCACCCAAGTCAAGTCAATGGAGTGTAAAATACCAAGCTAACCCTTTAACCATCTTCTTGATTAGCATATTCTGTCAATCAATAAATCAATAAGTTTTAGGGTTAGTGATGTCACTAACCCGGGAGGAAGCTTGTGTAGTCCCTACCAGCCGTTTGCTGTAGTCCTTAAAAAGCCATTTCTGTAAAAGCTAATATCTCTCTTTGCTTTGAACTGTGAGCGTCGTAACCTTGCAGATGTTGTTTATGCTCAAACAGCAACATTACACACTAACAAAAGTTAGAAAAGTGAAATCATAATCAACCACCCCTTTCTCTCCACTAACAGAAGATGGAGGCCACTAATAGTGATCATTTCAGAATTCAATGTATTGTAATGCGTTTCGTTTCACTTAATTTGTTTTTTACCACTAACTGACCTTGCGTCTTCTGTGATGTAATTTTGGAGAAGAGCGACACCTGGGCAACGGCAACAAAAGGAAGGCCCAGGACCTGAAGGAAAACACCAATGATGAACTCCGCCAGCTGCCACGCAAATCCACCTAAACCAAAGAAACGTGTGTGAGCCGTGTGGGATTTCCCAGCTTCTGAGCGCAACATGCGAGACGGCGTGCTCCTTTTCCTCACCCTGAGGATTGGCCAGGAAGATCAGGCACCAGACGCAGGAGATGTTGCAGAGGATGAGGCCGACGGCCAGCACGACTCGCTCCGCCACACGCTTGCTCAGCCAGCGCACGAACACGAAGCCCGCGATCACCTCCACGCCACATATGCAGTACATGATGCTGTTCTCCAGCTCGCCGAAGTTAAAGAACTTTTGCGTCAGAGGAGTCACCATAGTCTAGAGGGACAACGGTGAACTTACTAACAGCCACGGATAAATAAAAGCTATAAATGCCTGAATTAACCATTGAAATGAGGTGACTAATTTGATGCAAAATAGTAATTGAAATTGAATTTAAAGGAGAAGTTCACTTTAAAAAAATACTTTTGCTGATAATTTACTCACCCCCATGTCATCCAAGATGTCCATGTCTTTCTTTCTTCAGTGGAAAAGAAATTAAGGTTTTCGATGAAAACATTCCAGGATTTTTCTCCATATAATGGACTTCAATGGGAACCAAACGGTTCAAGGTCCAAATGAGAGTTTCAGTGCAAACTACAAACTGTTCAAAGGGCTTTAAACGATTCCAGACGATGAATAAGGGTCTTATCAAGCGAAACGATTGGTCATTTCAAACATAAATAATAAAGTTTAAGTTTTATAAGCTCAAATGGTCGCCTTGCTCTGTTCTGTGATGCACATTCGTGACTCTCATATTCGAATTCGTTTATCAAAATGAACAAATCTTTTTTTCGAGTCATTTGGTTGATTCAACGAACGACATGAACAAATTGACTCGGAAAAAGATTTGTTCATTTTCATGAACGAGTTCGAATATGAGAGTCACGAATGCGCATCACAGAACAGAGCAAGGTGAGCATTTGAGCTTATAAAACTTAAACTTTGTTATTTATTTTTTAAATGAGCGATCGTTTCGCTTGATAAGACCCTTATTCATCGTCTGGAATCGTTTAAAGCCCTTTGAACAGTTTGCAGTTTGCACTGAAACTGTCTTTTGGACCTTGAACCGTTTGGTCCCCTTTGAAGTCCATTATATGGAGAAAAATCATCAAAAACCTTAATTTCTTTTCGACTGAAGAAAGAAAGACATGGACATCTTGGATGACATGGGGGTGAGTAAATTATGATCATGATCCTGTCATGATTTTAATTCAATTCAAATCCAAATCCATTCAAATTTCAGCTCAACATTCTGTGGAATGTGTGGCAAACTCAATTGGAATTCAAATCAAATAAAATTCAATCAATTCAAATTCAAAATTGTGAAGTGTGCGTGTACCTCTAGAGCGGTCTGATTAAACAGTGTGATAAACTGAGCTGCCAACAGCACAACCACCTCCTCTCTGATGAACTCTGGAAGTTAAGATGACACACAACACACACATGTAAACGAAACCAAGATGATTCATATACAGAAATGTAGAGTACAATAAACTGGATTTTATTATACAGTTGGTAAACTATGAATCTGGAAGCCTAGTTTGACATTTTAATTCATATAACGTGAGATTCAAACTAATGAGCATTAAGTGTGTTTTTCTACAGCACCACACAAACATCTAACAAGCTAAGATCTTTCTCCTTTAAGTAAAGCAGTTTTGAAAGTCTAATAAAATAATTCTACAGTAATCCTATTAGCATACCAAATAAGTCAAGTTGTCTGCTTATAATATCAAAATAAAGCAATACGTATATTTAGTATTTTAAACTGCAATTGGCTGATAAAATTCAATAAATTCCACTAAATTCATAAATGTCTCCATTCCAATTCAGCTAGAATCAAATTAAAATGGATTAAAATTCCAATTAAAAGTTCTATGGAGAAGAATGCTGCATTTTCGGTGGAAACTTCAATTTAAATTCTAAATCAAATCAATTTAAATCGATTCAAATTCTAATACAACATTTTATGGAATGTGTGGCAAATTCAATTTCAATTCCAATTAACCACTTCAACTCTGCAGCATATTTTGAATTTTTTAGACGATTATATCTGAATTTAAAAGAGCGTCCTGCCCACACACATTGGAGTAAATGGATAAAAATGGTCTCATTTTACAGAAAACACTCTAAATTTTAAGACAGTGGTGGAATATTGCATATATTTCATTGTATTTATTCACAATGTTTTGATAAACACATAAAATCTCATTTTTTTATACTTTTTTTTTCTTTTGAAAATCTGCAACTTTGGACCTGTTTTGTCTGTCTCTTCTGAAAGTTTCTTTCGATTCAACTAGGTGGCAGTAAACAGGGATTTTTTTTTTTGATAACTCATTCTAAAAAATAGTTATTGATATTTATCTGAAAGGTCTCCATTTTGGATTGCTAAAAAAAATTGGGCATTCCTGAATTTAAAATGGTGTCCTACACACATACATTGGAGTAAATGAATGAAAATGGTCTCATTTGATAAAAAAACACTCTAAATTTGAACACAGTGGTGGAATATTCCATATATCTTATTGTCTTTATTCACAATTTTAGGATAAAAAGTCAGATTTATATTTATATTATATTTATATTATAATTTAGGATCTGTTTGGTATATTTCCCTTCAGAATGTTTCTTTTGTAGCTGTAAACAGGGGCAATAAGATTTTTTTTTTGATAACTCATTCTAAAAAAGTTATTGATATTTATCTAAAAGGAGTCACTGGTGTCTCCAAATGTACTTTTGAAGTCTCCATTTTGGATTGCTAAAAGAATTGGGCATACCTGACTTTAAAATGGTGTCCTACACACACATAAATTGAAGTGTTTGATAAATTTGATAAAGCATTTGATAAAAAAAAAAAACTCTAAATTTTAAATTCCCATTTAAAAAAATCCTCCATAATAAAATGTTCAATATATATATTTGATAGGTCACACAATGTGGCATTTTTTCAGCTAAAAAGAACTTAAAGGTCATTAGAAATCAAAATGAACATTTGTTGTTTTATTTTATTTATGGAATATTGCTGTATTTATTTGTTTGCTGCATTTGTTCTTGTTCATGTGCTGTTTTCCAGGGATATACGTCACAAAAGGGAAGAAAAGACTCGCGCAACTTCCATTTCATGCCGACTTTAGGACAGACAAACTAATTGACTAGTTCGAATTAAGGTTAATTTTTTTCAGATTTTGAGAATATGCATTTTTGCGTTCACCTCGGCTGGCACTGAAGTTCTTAAGGGGACTGGAGCTGACGTCCTCCGGTGGAGGGGAAGCACAAGTCACTTCTCCATTGGCCACTGAAGAGGCTCTGGACTGGACGCTGGTGACCGTCCCGTACGACCCGGTGAGCTCGTTGGGCCCAACCAAAGGCTTGGCCTCTTCGCTATCCTCCTCCTCCAGGTCGCCCCGCACCTCTCCGTTCCTCTGACGCCTGTCGTCTTCAGGAGTGAAGTCCCAGTACATGAACAGCACTACGAACTGAAGGAGGATCCACAGCAGACACATGAAGAGCTGAAAAACACAACAGATCCGTCAGGGGGATGTGTGCGCAAACGCGCTCAGCGATGAAGCTTCAGTCTCTCACCCCTGGGGACGTGAATTTGTTCACTGTGAAAGGCCCGACCTGGAAGTCACAGAGCCGGAGAAAGATGTTGAACGCGGGACCTAGAAGACAAAAGTCAGCATGCGGAAAACACTAAATTAACACCATTGAGCATCCTTTTCCTCATTCCCGCAGATTTATAGGCCATATAAAAACTGTATAATGGGTCCGTGCGTCAGGTCTTAAAGTGACAGTAGCCTAATATACCGACGGCCAAATTATGAGATGCTATTAAAAATATCTATATATTATAGTTAGTAGTTATAGTGGTAATTATTCCCCTATGGGATCGGTGTCCAAACTGTGGGCAGTGAAATTCCTAAGTGACTTTGGAAAACTACTAGCCACAGTGGCTGGTGAGCAAAAAAGTTAATATCAATTTTCTTAAACATAAATGCATGTGTGTGTATCTATACAAAATAATGAAACACAGTACACACACATATATTATAAACGTAAACATAAATGTAAACACAAACTTTTATTTTGGAACGGTATTAGAACTACACCAGGGTGAGTAAATTATGATTTAATTGTCAATTTAGGGTGAACTATCCCTTTAACTGTGTGTTTTGAGTTCCTACGGTAACGCCGCCGGCCCCAGCGGACGGCGAACTACACCACTGAAAAGCTTTGGAAGAGTAGAACAAATGGTGGAGAGATTAGATCTCTTCTTTTTCTGCTTGCGTCTCCAGCCACAGCAAGCGCATTGACCAGCCGACGATATGCCATCATGGAATTTTCTGGCTGTATGTGAATGAGCGGAGTGTGGGAAAATGGCCACAATATTTAATTATACATTTTAATTGTATTAACTGTCCTAATAACGTTAGAAAATCATGAAAATCCGAAAAATTAAATGACAACTTATCATTATAAAATCATTTATTTTATTAAAAGTTAAGAATTCAGGTTTGTTTATCAGTACCATAGCAACGCTAACTTCCGCTGGAACCGCCTTTCGCAAGAGTTACATTTTTAGAACGCATCAGGATGACCAACTGACACGACTTTTTCTGCACCGCACTCGGTCGGACCCGTTTCGGACCCATTCGCACGCGGTCTGCGAATCGCCAAAGGAAATGAATGACTTCGACCGTTTCGAAGCCGTATCAGAGCTGATTTCAACTGCCAGTGTGAAGGCGGCGTATGGGGCAATACATTTCCGACACACGCCGGAGGTGTTCGACCAATCACAACCAACGCACTGGGTCAGCTGGCCAATCACAGCACTGAGCTTTTCAAAAGGAGGGGCTTTGAATAAATCAGCGCGTTTCAGACAGGCTGGGAATAGAGGTGCTGCAATAATGTACAGTATGTGAAAAACAAATTAGCAGTAAAGGGATTGTTCACTTTGAAATTAATTTTTGTTGTTTTATCTTACCTCAAGGGCATCCAAGAAGTAGGCGTCTTTGTTTCCACAGTATTTTCAATTTTGATATTTTTAGGTCAAACCGTTCTTGTCTGTCAGTCATATAATGGAGGTCTATGGTCACCACCTCAAAGAGCAGCACAGAGAAGTCCAAATTAAACATGATTTAATGACTCGTAAATGTAAGTACACATTGATGGCCTAAGACACGAAACGAGCAGTTTGTGTGAGAAAACGAACAGTATTTATATCGTTTTTACCTCTTGTAACCACAGCCACGTCCAAGTGATCTGAGGGCGAGGGCGATTCGGTCTGCGCAAGCACCAGAAAGTGCCAGAAGTGATCTCTTGCGCGGTTGCGGGGGGGGAAAAAAATGAACGTCGTCTGTTGATATATCGAAATCGTCTTCCATTGCGATTTCCTGTATATCTAAATATGTTTAAAATCTTTGTATAAAGAATGAGTGACGTAGACGCGCAAGCGATCACTTCCGGCGCATGCGCAGACCGAAGCGCCCGTGCCGTCAGAACAGTTGGACATGGCTGTGGTTACAAGAGGTTAAAACAATATAAATACTGTTCGTTTTCTCACACAAACCGCTCGTTTCGTGTCTTAGGCCATCAATGTGTACTTACATTTGCGAGTCATTAAATCATGTTTAATCTGGACTTCTCTGTGCATGCTCTTTGAGGTGGTGACCATAGACCTCCATTATATGACTGACAGACAAGAACGGTTTAACCTGAAAATATCAAAATTGAAAATACTGTGGAAACAAAGACACCTACATCTTGGATGCCCTTGAGGTAAGATAAAACATACCAAAAGTTAATTTCAAAGTCAACTATCCCTTTAAAGCATGTAAGCCTATTCTATTCTACACCCAATAAATTAAATAATAGCATCATACCCCTTTTTTGTGTTCAGCAGAATAGTTGCTGAGTCTAAAAGGGTCTCGACTATGTTCATTGCACAACTCTAATTCCCATGTTTGGTTGTTAATGGTTGTTTTGCACCTACCAATAAGAAGCCCCGCCTGACGGCAGGCCATGACGGCAGCGAACACGGTCGAGCGGTCCTCAGGGGCTGTGTTTCGAGTCAAGAAGCCAAAGATAGAGGATCCAGCACCAGTGCCGATACCTAGGACAGCAGAAGCCAGTTTCATTACTAAAGCATCACACACACACACACACACGCTTAAAGAAATTAGACTGAAACTTCACCTGCAACTAGACGACTGCCGAGCAATAACCATTTGGAATATCCCATAAAATACAAGAAATTACCTAAAGACAGACAGAACAAGAAGTTACCCAAACCACATGATGTTGCAAGCGTGGTGTCCATTAGGTTCGGGCTTACCGACAATCTCAAAGACATTGGCGAACAGGATGATCTTCTTGGTGCCGAGCGTGCGGTCGGACCACAGGCCGAACAGAGGCCCGGCGAGGAGCCCGCTGAAGCTGAACGCTGATAGGCTGAGGCCAAGGAAGTACAGCGGCGCACTCAGCGTCTGCAGATACCGCCATATCGTGGGCAAGATCACAGCTGGAATTAAAACATGTGCATGTGAATATTACTGGTACATCTGATATGATATCATCTTATTGTCTTTAAAGCTAGTCAGAGCTTAGTAATTTATACCAGTTTATTAATACAGAATCTTCTGTGACTCACTATAATGAAAAATCGGAGAATCTCTGAAGACAAAGAGCGATTCTGAGACAAGAATGTCCCGAAAACGTCTCTTATACAAGAAAACAAGTGTATTAGAAACAAGTAACAATCCAGTCACGGCTATTAGCAACATCACGTTATATGTTTGTGTTGAATGTGACAGTATCCTTATTATTATATGGAGTCAAGAAAGAAGGGCGGTTTACAATAGGCATTTTCCAGACTACTGAAACATTTAGCAACATTTATTTTATATAAGGAATCCAGATAAAATAGCACACTAAAATAAAGAACATCTTTTTTCTTTAAACCATAGCAATATGAATAGTTTAATTTAATAAATGTTTAACCAGGTCGGCACTTTGGAGTCCCATAAACTTAACAAGTAATATTATGTTAAATTCACATTAACTTAACAAGTACTATATGTTAATATTACGGTAAATTCCAATTAACGTCACAATTATATGTTAATATTACGTTAAATTCCCATTAACTTAACAAGTATATGTTAATATTAAATTCCCATTAACTTAACAAGTATATGTTAATATTACGTTAAATTCCCATTAACTTAACAAGTATGTTAATATTACGTTAAATTCACATTAACTTAACAAGTATTATTACGTTAAATTCTCATTAACTTAACATGTATATGTTAATATTACGATAAATTCCCATTAACTTAACAAGTATATGTTAATATTAATGGAGAAGGCATTTTCTGCCGAAATTAAATAAATAAATTAAACGATAAAAATTAAAAATAAAACAAGTTTAACCATTTCATTACAGAAAATGGTACGCAGAATATGTGACAAAATTGATAATGAAATTAAATGATTTCATTTCATTTCATGGTGATAGTGCATCATCCCTGTCAAATTGAAAAATAAAATGCAATTGGTGATTTCACGTTTCATTTTCACTACAATCTCGAGACAAGACTGCCAATATTAAAATGAAAAGGCAAAAGTGAAAAGAAACTGCAAACAGTTTTCACAAAGCTTTTTTATTAACATTCATGCTATAATAGTGACAGAAATCAAATTCAAATGTAAAGTTTAGTTTTAAAATTTTAATCATTTTATTTCCTCTTTTATTTCACAGTTTTGATTTTCGTTTTCATTTTCAAAGACAACCTGTATGCAAATTATATGTTAATGAGTGGGTGTGGTTCGCAACGCCGTTGCGTGGAGGAGGGAAAATGTCGGTTTATGACCAGTATAGCAGCAGAGTTAAACCAGCTTGCAAATATTTCGGATGATGATGACTTCATTTTGCTTCGAGTTGAACTATCTTAGACACACTTGGGCACTTGCAGCCGTCACAAACTCCCCGATGTCGATCATTCTAGTTGTTAATAATCTAGGTGAGGTTGTGCATGCCTTCAGGCAGTAAATTGTCCGGGGAGTCTCGTCGGCCGGGTCGTCCAAGGTATGACATCCCATTAGAAACGCTAAGGATGTATCTTCTAAATGGTTTTACTGCTAAAGAGGTAGCAAATATTCGGAGCGAGCGAGAGAGAACCATCAGACGGAGGATGAAAGAAGAATCATATGAGGTAACGGAACTGAAGCGAACAGCTTTCACCTTGTTGCACGAACGTTATATTTAAAATGGACCCTTTTCAGTTTTCACGGACTGGTTAAGTTACATTTCCACGTTTAGTAGTAACATCGTAAAGTCAGCAAAGCGTTTTCATGTAAAATATTATATTGTGCACTTTATTGTAATTAATGTAGGCCTACATTAAACGAGACTCCCCGGACAATTTACTGCCTGAAGGCACTGCACAACCTCACCTAGATATTAACAACTAGATGATCGACATCGGAGTTTGTGACGGCTGCAAGTGCCCAAGTGTGTCTAAGATAGATTCAACTCGAAGCAAAATGAAGTCATCATCATCCGAAATATTTGCAAGTGGTTTAACTCTGCTGCTATACTGGTCATAACCGACATTTTCCCTCCTCCACGCAACGGCGTTGCGAACCACACCCACTCATTAACATATAATTTGCATACAGGTTGTCTTTGAAAAATGAAAACGAAAATCAAAACTGTGAAATAAAAGAGGAAATAAAATGATTAAAATTTAAAACTAAACTTTACATTTGAATTTGATTTCTGTCACTATTATAGCGTGAATGTTAATAAAAAGCTTTTGTGAAAACTGTATTTGCAGTTTCTTTTCACTTTTGCCTTTTCATTTTAATATTGGCAGTCTTGTCTCGAGATTGTAGTGTGAAAATGAAACGTGAAATCACCAATTGCATTTTATTTTTCAATTTGACAGGGATGATGCACTATCACCT